GAACTGGGTAGGCACAGAATGCAGAATTCCATCGGGGCATGAGAAAACTCTTGAAATTAATAGATATCTTCATTACCTTGATTGTGGGAATAGTTTCTCCAGTGTATTCATATGTTAAAACTCATCAAATCTTCATTTACATAATTTTCATTCATGTTGGATGGACAACATTACCTATTTATGGCTTTTTTCCTGAGTTCCTCCACCCTCTATCATAATAGGGTGTAAATGGATCCACACTGTATACATTGCTAAAGTCACCAGCTCATCAGTAAAGGTGAGCAAGAGTAGCATGTGTGTAGGTAAAACATGTATGCACCTGGAAATGTAGAATAAACCCTACAAATATACGAGTGTCTACCACATCAGTCAGGTTTTTAGGGATTCAGTCGTCTGGGACGTGCCAAGTTTATCTTCTTCAAAGTTATAGAAAAATGACTCTCACCCCTTTTACCATTTACAAAGAAACATAGGACTAGTCCGGCCTCTTAGGTAGTACAGGCAGCATATTTCGCACTTTGAATGACCACTCCAATCCGTTTGCCAATGATATTAACAGAGATGACTTCCCTCTTGGATAGGTCCTAGAGCTAGAAAGGGCTTGTCAGCAAATCCAGGCTGTTGCGAAAGAGCCCTGCTGTTTGGCTAACTCAATGCATTAAAGCTTACAGTATTACATGTAACTTAGATGAAGGATATGCCATTTGGATTTATGGCAAGTTCCAATAGAAGAATTGCAGTGTAGCAATGTAGATTCCTTAGTTCTGGAGGGAAAAAAAAGTCTTGTGATTGGGAGAGAGAACTATATATATTATTTAGAAATCACAGTACCACCTGTATGGTGCTGGGCCCTGGGAGAGACTGAGTTTCTAACTGTGATATGTCAAATACCCATGAAATCAGGGATATTCTCCAGTCTACTAAATCACACGGGGCAGCACACTCGGCAGGAATCCATTTTAAGAAAGGGCACATCCGGGATTGGGCACAAGCGGAACCAGAATAAACAGCATAGGCAGGTGGTACAGGTGCCCCGTGACTGCAGACTGCAGTGGCCTGTACCTCAGCTCACGCCTAAGGTCACATAGAGAACCTTTGCTTGATTCCTGGATGGGTCACCTGAGAATGCTTATATTAGGGTGCACAGGAAGAGTCCTGCCAAATTAAGCTAGGACTGCTCTCTGGTCACTTCAGTCTCTTCATATTGAAAGACCATCAGATGAAGAAAAGGGTTGCTATACTCACAGAGATAATTGACACTGATTGTCAGGGAAAGGCCTTTTTTTTCACAATAAGAATAGGCAAGAATATTTTTTCTTTTTCTCTTTCTTTCTTTCTTTTTTTGAGAGGGAGTCTTGCTCTGTCACCAGGCTGGAATGCAATGGCGTGATCTTGGCTCAATGAAATCTCCGATTCCTTGGTTCAAGTGATTCTTCTGCCTCAGCCTCCCAAGTAGCTGAGATTACAGGTATGCGCCGCCATGCTCAGCTAATTTTGGTATTTTTAGTAGAGACGGGGTTTCACCATGTTGGCCATGTTCCTCCTCTGACTATAACAAAACTGGGGAGTACAAAGGTGACTTTCCTGTGTCCACATCTCACAAAGTCAAGATTTCCAGCTGGACTTTTGCAGCTTCCTTCCAAGTTTTCCTGACCACCTGCACTATTGGACATTGGAAGGGGGTGCCTATAGAAAACAATTTTGAACATACTTCATCGCAGTGGACTGTGTCCCTCGGTGCAGAAACTACCAGATTTGAGGGATGAGGTCAAAGAGACATGATGGGCCCGGAAGTTGCTGTGCTGCATCAGCAGCTTTCCCTCCGTCACAGGAAGATTTCACCAACACTGCGGACTCTCAGGACTACTGTTACCAAGAGGTAACAGCACAATAAAAAGACCTAAATGAATAAACAGAATAATTGGGCAAGAGAAAAGGACTCCTCTTCAGATCTTGAACTCCTGACCTCGTGATTCACCTGCTTTGGCCTTCCAAAGTACTGGGATTATAGGCGTAAACCACTGTGCCTGCTGGCAAGAATATATTTAATGCTCAGGTGCTGCATTGAGTCTCCATTGATACTTCACTTTAATATTGAGTGAAAACATTCAACAACCACAGACTGAGACTGGCACAGTAAAAAGGGGGTCAGAACTTCTATAGGGACAGTGGTGCCAGGAACGAGTGAGCAAAACGCAGATAAGTGGTGAGAGAAGAGGGTGATTCTCACTTATGACCTTAGGAAGATCAGCTGCAGAAGTAGAGGCTGCAGTTGTCCCACCAACATTTCTCTTATAAAATCTTGGGATGTGAGACTCATCAGTATCCTGTGGAATCTATCCTCTGCTATAAGGAACTTACCATGAAAAGCAGGGATAGTTGAGAGACACAAGTGGTTGACCTAGTGGACACTGTGGTGTCATAACTAGATCTCGTCTTCAGCACGGACATATCTATCCCCCAAACACAAATAATGTCCAGGTCTGGTGGCTCACTACTGAGTGTTCACTGGAACATTTCCAAGGAAACTGTCTTCCCAAGATAATACCTACTCCTGGGGGCAGCCATTGACTAATGAAAGACTATGTCATACAAACAACGTTCTCTCTGCTTGCATCAATTTAGAACAACTCTGAAGAGCCATAGCTCTAGACTTCCCATGGGATCAGGCAAGGTCTCATTTGCATCTGGGTTGTGAGTCAGCGCCTGTCTAAAAGCAGCCATACTCAGTTCCTCGCAGCTGTATCCCCTGAAAGGATCCCCCAAAGAAGAGGCTGCATGTAACATTCTATGGAGTTGGAACATTCTTTAACCAAGGATCCCAATTCAAGGTCTTCTTGTGCCTTTTAAAGTTAATTTGTCTCCTTTCCAGATACACACAGTCCACCAACAGTTTTCCAAATCAGGAAGGAGAGGTACTGGGAAAACAGGCTATTGCCTCATATACCAGAAACAAAACTGGTCTGAGCTACCAATATTCAGCAACCAAGGACTTCATTCATAAACATAATTGATACTCAAAGACGACTAGACTTTTGAAGGAATGCAAAAGCACAATAAAAAGACCTAAATGAATAAACAGAATAATTGGGCAAGAGAAGAGGACGCTAAACATTTTAATTGATATTCTTGATCTAACTATCTTTCCCCCAATTACCACTGATGTTGAGCAGCTTTTTATATTCTTATAAGCAATTTGTGTGTTCTCATCTGCGACTTCCTTATATATACTGTTTAATAACACGTTGGCTATGTCATACATATCTAATAAAGCCAGAAAAAAAGGTTTTACTTGCCTGTTTTTGTTCCTGTTATTTTTTTTCTTATTTAACTTCATAGCTCACTTGATTTATTTCTCTCTCTTTCTGCTGTCTTGAACCAATGTTCTTTTTTCTAAAGACGGAGTTCTTTGTGTCATCATAATATAGGAGTCATTTTTTTACTAGTTTTGATGGGAAGAGTGGCTTCTGTGTTTTAGCATCAACTAAGAACAGTGTCCCAATGGGCAGAAACACTAATTCAGGTCTCTCTCTGTGTAGTTCTATTAAATGTCCTCTCCTGCCTGTTCTATTTGACTGCCTTAGTGCATAACCATTATTGATATTAGTGTATTTGCTTGCCATGCCCTAATACGTTCTTCACTAGATACACTTGAGCCCATAAGTTGTGTTGAGTGTGTGTGAGAGAGAAGAGACGCATTTGTGTACAGTGTGTAGGCCCTGGATTGTTAGGCAATTTAAAAGTAATCATTTGGGTACAAATAACGCACAAAATAATGGTAACTGGAAAATATTTTAGATCCAGTTCCTAACCAAGTAATAAGAAAAAAAATAACAGCTCTAGAAAAAACGGCATCTTACAATGCACCTAAGCTATATTTTTCATTCAACATCATTGGAGAGACTGTTTATAAACTGCCGTGATGAAGAGCGCAGTCTCTGCAGCCTGTTTGTCTGAGTTTGAATCCCAGCTTTGCCCTTTTAGGAAAACCACTTCACCTATCAGAACTTCAGTTCCTCTGTCTATGGGTAGCTACCTACTTCCTGGGGTAGATGTTTGGATTAAATTTATAACTGCCCAGAACATAGGAACCACTAGGTAAGGGTACATGATTATTATTTTCTTTAAGATTGCTAGCAAAGACTCAGATAGACTAATATTCATAAATCAGTTTTAAAAGCCATTTAGGGCCGGGCGCGGTGGCTCATGCCTATAATCCCAGCACTTTGGGAGGTCGAGGTGGGTGGATCATGAGGTCAAGAGATCGAGACCATCCTGGTCAACAAGGTGAAACACCGTCTCTACTAAAAATACAAAAATTAGCTGGGTGTGGTGGCGCGCACCTGTAGTCCCAGCTACTCGGGAGGCTGAGGCAGGAGAATTGCCTGAACCCAGAAGGCTGAGGTTGCAGTGAGCCGAGATCGTGCCATTGCACTCCAGTCTGGGTAACAACAGCGAAACTCCGTCTCAAAAAAAAAGCCATTTAGAATAATCTTTAATTTTGCCATAAATTAAAGGGGGTGATTTAAAATTACTAATGGTAAGCTTCATGGAAATATCATTTGGTTTTATTTATTCTGCGAATATAAAAAAATTTTTTTAAGTCTAACAATGTGGCTGGGTGTGCTGGCTCATGGCTGTAGTCCCAACACTTTGGGAGGCTGAGGTGCTTGCACAACATGGCAAAAACCAGCCTCTACTAAAACAATACAAAAATTAGGCATAGTGGCATGCACCTGTGCAGTAACAGCTACTCAACAGGCTGAGGCAGGAGAATTGCTTAAACCCAGGAGGTGGAGGTTGCTGTGAAATGAGATTGTGCCAAGGCACTCCAGCCTGGGCCACGGAATGAGACTCTAGCTCAAAAAAAAAAAAAAAAAGAAGTCTAACAATGTTAAAAATTATCTTCAATCTATATATATCAAACTGCTTTGTTCCAATTATTGTAGACAGTTAAACACATTTAAGAAATGTGTTTTCTTCTTATTATTCTTTTTTAGACATGGTCCTGTTCTGTTGCCCAGGCTGGAGTGCAGCGCTGCAATCTCTGCTGACTGCAGCCTCTACCTCCGGGGGTCACGTGATTCTCCCACCTCAGCCTCCCAAGTAGCTGGACTACAGGTGCGCACCAGTATGCTCAGCTAATTTAAAAAAAATTTTTTTGTAAACACAGGGTTTCACTGTGTTGCCCAGGCTGCTCTTGCACTCTTGGACTCCCACAATGCACCCACCTCAGCCTCCCAAAGTACTGGTATTACAGACTTAAGCCACTGCGCCCAACCCCAGAAATGTGTTTTCTAATAAGATTCTTGTAGGTGGACATTATATTAATTTGGTTAATATTGTGTTAATCCTTTAAGGTTTACTGTGGAATAGCACAACAGAGATGTGTTTTTTTCTGTGTTTAATAGACCATTTTTGAACAAATCTTAAATATGACTCAATGCTTCTGTTAGGTTAGATTTAAAACCAAGTCTAGATTTCAAGTCATTATAAATATGCTATTTTACCTAGTGAGTTATTCCATGCTCTTTCTTTTTTTAACTTACGAGAATTGTTTGAAGTGTTGCTTTGAATGTGTATACCCTCTTCTATACTAACACTATATAATGTGGTTCCCTGTGACAATGGTTTGCAGTGCTGCTTTGAGTGCATGTGCGTACGCTCTTCTATACTAACACACAATACAGAGTAGCTCCTCGGGGCATCCATCTCCATTCACTTCTCATGAAGCCTTGTTGAAGTAAAATTCAAAGGTGCTAAATGGGCTATTACAAACAACTGCATTCATAAAAATCTGAAATAATTGGAGGAAAAACAACCTTTTCAATAAACCTGACCTTTTTCTCCTCTGTTTTCTGTTTTCCCTCCACTTTTTAATAAGTTATTTTCTCCAAGAGCTGCTCTTGGAAATGAAACTTCCCAAACTTCTACACATTTAATTATTTTAATCTTTACCTCAAAGACCTCCTTGGCCACACGTCCTTTCCTTACTCATTACTACCTCTTGAGTCTTGTGTCAAACTCACCATTAGCTGGTGAGTGAAGGAGGAAAATTTTGGTTGATCCTCAGGGGTGAGTCAGGAACTCATTATTCGCATTTTTGTTGAAAAAATAAAGGTGACATTAATATAGGCTTATAATATTGATACAGATTTGAATAAGAGTAAAGCTGAGGTAACTTTGCTGTGATAATCAACTGAGCCTAGGGGCTGATAGAAAAAAAGGGTGAAGCTAGAGGAATGAAAATAATTGTTTCCTCAGAAGTTTTGTATTAAGACATTTTCCTGTAGGGGATAGTGTCTCTACCTGCCACTAGTACCATCTACTTGATTGCTGTCCTCTGCTCTCTGATTCAAAAGAGATTCAGATTTTTCAGGAATGGTATAGAAATACTGAAAATACAAATGGAAAGGTACTACTATTTTGTTAGCGAGTAACGGAAAAGAATGTGCTACTTACACAAAGAACCTGAGGGCATTTCTAGTGCTGTCAGATGACAAAACTGACCACTGGGTGCTTTGGTAGGACCTTCGTGTTACCCATGGCTTGCCTGCATATTTCATAGTGGCACATTTTTCACGTTCTACGTGGCTGTATAATTAAGCTACATTAAATAAATGTATGTCTTTTGCTTGTAACAGTTGATATTGCTTATTTTGTTATCCAATCATCCTGGTTCTTGTTATAGCTGCTCAGATGGAAAGAGAAAAATGATCAATGAGTGTGAGTGGAAAAAAGAAGGAGAGAGAAAAAGAATGCAAAAAGGAAAATCGTTATGGAGTTTTGAGGCACAAAAAATTGAGACTGCAGATGAACAAATAAATGGCAAAAGAGACGATTAATGTGTTTATATTGTATGGTACACACTCTAAGAGAAAATGTACTTTGAAAGAAGAAGAAATTTTTCGATGATGACAAAGTTGGTTTAACAAAACACTGCTCTTATTGTCAAAATAAAAACTGTACCTTCTCAGCTATGCCCATCATTTGGGGTATAATAAATATGTTCTTGGCAGAAAGAACGATTGATTTATCTTATTTTCCCCATGACCTTCATATTACCCAGGGGGAAGCAATCAGACAGTGGATTTCTTGTGGGCAAGTTCAGTCAGTCAATCATCAGGTATTCTCAAACCTCCGCCTTGCAAATAAAATGACAGCATTTGAAGAAAAATAACACATATCAGGAAGGTGGCATGTCGTGATTGAGTCAATGATATTTTGATTGGTTTCATTTCCTTTTAAATAAGTCTATGTTATGTACGGATGCATTGTGAAATCACTCCCAGGGTTGGCATGAGGAGGGGAGGTTTTCAGAGTCAGAATGTGATTGCTGTTATTAAAATTCAAAAGAAAGGGAGAATTAGAAAAATCAATTCATCTTCATAATCAGGAAGATTTGTAAATTTTTTTCTAGATTTGTAAATTTTTAAACATAGTATTTTGATTGAATTTGGTCTTAAATATTTTTCAGATTATATATCTGTTACATCATTCATAGATAATAGCATTATTAATTTTATGAATGAAATGTACTTTAGTGTGCACACATGAGAATATTAGGACAATAGGTACTATAATATAGACTTGGAATTCCTAGAATTGAGGGAAGAGTTATAAAGTCCTAAAAACCCTGAGACCCTGAGGTATGTAAATATTAGAACAAAGGGGTGGTTTAACAGAATAATCACTGAGCATAGAAGAGTAGGAGAGGTGTTGCTCGTATTAACCTGTGTTGAAAGAGATAAAGAGACCTGCAATGACTGTACATTCAGATGGAAGATGGTGAGATTGAGAAGGGAAGTGGTTGTGGAAGAATAGAATACAACACGACACTGTTGACTATGGCTAGCTACTATAACTAGAGTCCCACTATTCCTGGAAAAGCTCAAGTGTGGATAGTTGACTGAAATGAGGAAGGCTGGTATAAATTGTTGGTGGTATAGAGCTTAAGAGTCAATGTTGGCTATGTTAGGTTTTTAAGATGTTTTTTAGATAGTTACTAGAATAATTAAATATAAAAATCTGGCCAGGTGTGGTGACTAACACCTGTAATCCCAGCACTTTGGGAGGCTGAGGTGGGCAGATTGCTTGAGACCAGTGTAGACAACATGATGAAACCTATCTCTACAAAAAATACAGAAGTTAGCCAGGCATGATGGTGTGTGTCTGGAATCCCAGCTACTTGGGAGGCTGGGGTGGGAGGATCGCTTGAGGCCGGGAGCAGATGTTGCAATGAGCTGAGATCATATCATTGCACTACAGCCTGGGGGATGGATGTGAAACCCTGTCTCAAAAAACCAGACAAAACAAAACAAAATGAAACAAAACAAACAAAACAAAACAAAAACCTGGCATTTAGGGGAGAGAAAATAGAAGTATATAAAATGGAATGCAGGTGGAATTTAATGTCTGGCACTAGCATAAAGTAAGAGAGACATACCTGCTGATATGGTTTGTCTGTGTCCTCACACAGATTTCATCTTGAATTGTAGCTCCCATAATCCCACATGTTGTGGGAGAGACCTTTTGTAAAATAATTGAATCATGGGGGCAGGCTTTTCCCATGTCTCATGATAGTGAATAAGTCTCCTGTGATCTGATGATTTTACAAAGGGCAGTTCTCCTGCACTCACTCTCTTGCCTGCCACCATGTAAGATGTGCCTTTGCTTCTCCTTTGCCTTCCACCATGATTGTGAAGGCTCCCCAGCCATGTGGAACTGGAGTCCATTACATTTCTTTTTCTTTATAAATTACCCCTTCTCTGGTATCTCTTCATAGCAGTATGAAAATGGACTAATATAACCACCTCAAGTGCAGAATTTAAGATGAAGATGCCAAAACCTTAGTAATTACAATAAATAATATTTTAACTCAATAATTTAAAAAATTATTATGAAATCAATAATTTTGAAATAAAAATTAATGTAAAAACCTATGATGAAACTATACAAAATTTTAAATGTCTCAGTTAGACTGATTTTGATTACTTAAAGAATGTGTTTAGACAGAGGAAAGAGTAAATTCTGACTACACTCTGGGGCATCTAAATGTGTTATGTAAGGAAGATGAAGATAAAACAATGCTTGGAATTGCTACTGGTTTAATTGTTGCCAATTGATGAAAGAAATTGTTTCTTGCTATTTGAATTTGGATTTCTTTCATAACTAGTATGATAGAGCATTGTTTTCTCTTCTGTTGACTGACTATATATTAGTTATGGCAAAGTTTTAATTGACACACTATAAAATTAATTTTTTGATTTATAATTTGTGACTTTTAACACATGACTAGATTCATGTAAACATCACTGCAATCAGGATACAGAACAATTCCATCACATTTTGCCACTCTCTGCCAGTGTAATTCTAGCATTTCCACCTCACTGTATGTGGGCAATCACTTTTGGTTGCTTCTGGAACCCTCCTGGTAGCTTGAGCAGCAGGTCCTTGAAAAAGTATCAAATCCTTAATTCTGCAAAAAAATGTACCATAGTGATAAACTTTGCTTTACCTAAACTTTTGCTCTGTTCTTTTTGGTCCAGCACACTCAGGATCCAGTGTCACTTATATTTTCTTGGCTCCTAAAGGTACATGTTGGCTGAATCCTGAATTTCCTTCTCTTCTGAGCTCCATTTCTCCCTTAGCTTGTGCAAAAAATAATGTGACATTATTTATTTATTTCAAGAGGGGAGGTGGGGGGCATAACCTTGGGATGGGAGTACCTGATTTCATTTAGTAGGGAGAATCTCTATTATCTTCAAGCAAAGGGGGAGCACTAAACAACAGAGAGCAGTTGCCCATTTCTGCTGGCACAGAGCATTAAGAGGAATCTTGGACTTGAAGATTTTTGAGTGCATCAACCCACATGCTTCTGTGTACCAGGGTCCTGTTTCCCCAGCCAGGACTTTGATCTTGACATACAGACATGTCGTGTTTGGGAGCTTGACCTTTGTTGGAGCTCTTTTACTCTTAAGTGCTGTACCTCTTTCTAAACTTTCTCTGCCTGCCTGGTAATGAAAGTGAAAACGCTTTTATGGGATAAAAGAAGGCCTTCTGACATTCTCTCTTAGTTTTTACTTGCCTACTAGTTGTTCTCAGTCTTTAGTTATCTTTTTCCCCTGGAAGTATCACTTGAACTTGTCAACAAGTATCCAATTCCACTGCTTTATGGTTACAATACACCTAAAATGTGTAATTTGCCAGATACATTGCACCTGCTAATGCAGTACCTTGACTTGGAGTACCAATTTTATTTCACTACATGTGAAACTTTTAACACATGCATTGCTGCTTTATGCCAAGGTTCACATGTATTCTATTATATCTACTATCAGGGATGGAGAATTCATTGCCTTCTGTATGACAAGGGATCCAAACCAAAATCTTATATATGCCATCTACTTTCTTGAGTCACTTCTGGAACCAACTCTACAAGTTGATTTCTCTGGAAGATATTCAGGAAATATACTAGGAATACCTTTGAGATCATATCTTGTGAGAGGGGAAGAAGTAAGGAAAGAACAAAGTTCAGTTCCATTGCAGTTCCAATGAAGACCCCAGCTGTTCCCAGCTGTAGTTAGAACAGCCCTTCAAAACTGAGTGAGGGGCAGGGCCTCTGTATCTGAATGTCAGTCAGTCATACTGTGAAGGCAGTATGCCCTTAGACAGCTTTCTTCTGCTGAGGCTATTCTCAAAGCAGTGTGGGAATTGAAGGCTGTCTATCTTTGTGCTCCTAGCAGGTGGATCCACATCTTGGTCATTCAGGAAGGAAGATCTGAATGACACCACGTGGTGTCCACAGCCATAGCCCTCAGCTTTTTCTGTTCTGCTAAGTCAATATGCCACTTTTCTATTCACCCTACTGCTTTATTATTAGTTTCTAAAGTTTGGTCAAACTTACCTCTTTTACCATTCTTTTTATTTTTGTGGGCTTTATATCGTAAAACAAGAACGAGTTTTAAGGTGTCATTTTAGAGGGCTGACAATAGTAAAGAGAACATATGTGTTTGATCTGCCTTATGAATCTGAGCTCTGAAGTAGCCTTCTGATAAGGACAGTGTGAAGTATGCTGTTCTTATTTCTGGCACATGTGGTCTCAGTTTCCATTTGACTTGTTCCATATCTAGGCACTTCTCCAGAAAGCTTTTCTAGAAAATAGTGTCACCTAAGCAGGGTAAGAGCTGCACTGGGAAGAATATTGTCCAGTTTCTAGGGCTGTCATCTAAAGAAAATTGTGATGGTGATGGAAAAAATACAGTAGGCTGAGAAATGAGGAATGAATCAGACTCCAACACAATACTCTAGAAACCTCTTCTTCCTTAGCACTTGCTGCTCACTTCACACACACACACACACACACACACACACACACACACTTCTTCAGTAGAGGATGGATTTGGACTGACACATGCAGAGAAACATTGTTCTGCTATTTAATTATATCCTGACTGTTCATTTATTCTGGTAGCCTTGGGAAATATTTATTATATCCATGTTCAATTAAAAAATAAAAAAGCCAAAAGAATTACCACACTGATATTTAGAAAGCATGTCCTTAATATTGTTAATTTGCCCCAAAAGTAATACAGTTATAATGAGCTACATTATTTAGAGTTTGGCTTGAATCCTGTTTTTAAAAAATTCCACTTGGATTTAGGTTGTGGTATATCATTTTGTCAAAAATTTAGTCTTCTGTTTCTGCCTTAATTTAGGTTAGAGCTCTTACCTAGTTTCCAATTTGTTCTAGCCCATTTCTCTATGCAGCTGACACACTCACTGCAGATGATTCTCTCAGGGTTTTTTGTCAGTCAAAAGATCATCTAGAGATGACTTCCTTAACTCTTGGTGGTTGGAGTTCCTTATAGAATAAGGATTGATTTCCTCTCTGAAGGGAAAGAACAGATAATGATGAACATTGTCGCTCAAAAATATAGTGTTACAAAGTTTCAATGCATTTTACTCTACAGTGGAGATCATTAAGATTAAGAGTAAATTGGCTATTTC